GGCAGAGAGAGAGGGAGGCAGAGAGAGAGAGGCAGAGAGAGAGGGAGGCAGAGAGAGAGAGGCAGAGAGAGAGGGAGGCAGAGAGAGAGGGAGGGAGGAAGGTGGATGCACGGAAGGGTTGTGTTGGGGGTTAGAGAGGCAGGGTGCAGTGAGTAGGGTGGCTCCCTATCTCAGATTTCTGAGCTAATCCTGCCAAGAGCTGGAGCTCTGACGACTGCTAAGGAAACAAGGCTGCAGGGATGGATCAAGTTTGGCAGTGCTTGAAGTTTGTACAATTCCAGGGCCCTCTTTAAGAAAAGTAATACACAATCATCAATATCCAATCAGGTACAAGGCCTTGGAATGGGCCCATGAAAGCGTGGCGCTAATTAGCTTCATGGCAGATTCTCTCCTGGAGCCTTGTTCTGCCATCCACCCCTTGAGTTCCATCTTGACAGGACATCTTGGGGTTCTTAGTGTTTGTGGAGTGAAGAATGAGGGTGTGTGTCTCACACAAGCTGCCATTTGTCTGCATTTTACCACCGGAGTCTGAACATTGGTGCCCCAAGGAACAATAATTCTAGTTGCTTTTACAGAGAAAAAACTTCCTTTAAAAAAGGGCTGGACACAGTGGCTCATGCCCATGGTCCCAGCTACTTGAGAGGCTGAGGCAGGAGGATTCCTTGAGCCCAGGAGGTTGAGGCTCCAGTGAACCAGGATCGCACCACTGCACGCTAGCCTGAGCAACACAGTGAGACCCTGTCTCTAATACATAAATAAATAAATAGGAAAAATGTAGGCTAAATATTACAATGAGAAGGAGAGAAGCTTTGGAAGGAAAAGGATTGCTGGGAACAGGAACACTTTGGGGGGATAAAATTGGGGAATAAGTGCTAGGTGGCCCAATGACGAAGTGGAGAACACCTGAAATGCATTTCAATCGGCTTCATCTCACTTGTTCCGACGACACTCAACTCCCATCCCCAACCGATAGGCCCCCTCAGTGGCACATCACGTTCCAATGCACCTGCGGGACTTTATTCGCCTGCAGATACGGATTCATCTTTGTAGGAGGAAGCATAACCCCTCATCTTTCCCTCATGGGAGAAATCCTGGGGAGGAGCAGTGCTGGGAGGAGGGGTCTGGAGCCTGCACTCACATGCCATGCTGCCTGCTTGTTTCCAGGTCTGCACCCGGGGACGGAATATAAGATCACAGTGGTGCCCATGCGAGGAGAACTGGAGGGCAAGCCGATTCTCCTGAATGGCAGAACAGGTGAGAGCTACTTGGAGGCCCTATGGACATTTAATCATGTTTGCGTTCTGACATTTTCCTGGCTGACTCCTCTGGATAAGAGTTCTGGGATTTGCATGTAGAGAGAGTCTGTCCCTTTATGTACTACATCTATTTTTGGGCAGGGAAAGGGAAGCAAACTTTTCCTATTTCAAATTTTTCTTGCCATTGAAAATCTCCCCCAGGGTCTTGGAGTTAAGGGACAAGACCGTGTCTGACACCCTTTTGCTTATGTTAATAGCTTCCATCACTGCGTTGTTTTTAAGGCGTTTATCATCTGAGACATAGGCACATAGCTCCTTATTCCCTAAAGACAAGTGATCTTTAATTTTCTTCATGCCACACCTGTGTTTGTTCCTGATGACCACACTCAAGCAGATGTCTCTAAAATGTCAGAAGATATTAAAAACTCTCACATGGGAGTAGAGATATGTTGTCATCTGTGTATTGAGGAAAATATATAATGATAAAAAGTTACAAATCAGTCACATTTGACAATATGTTTGTAACTTGTTAATCAGAACAGAATTTGAAAACATGGTAGGCATACGTATGAGACATCCTACGTAACTTTTAGTTTTTAAGCAATGTTTGAGCCCATATCGAATTCTGAATTTCCTCATTAACTCTGTGCTCCTGCCTTCCCCACGCTGGAAACCCGTCACATAGAGTGCCACTTGGGGAGACCAATCCTTGGAGCCTTTGAGTTCTGAGTCTTCCTTGAAAAGTTTTTTTAGTTCTTTCCAATTCAGCCCTGGAAATAGCTGGTTATGGTGTGAGAATAAGGGATGAGATGTTGTGAGAATTGAATTCACTATTTCAGCTGCTTAACAGATTGCTTATTTGGAGTATGAAAGAGTGATAGTTGGGCAACTATAAAGGAGACGATATAACCTAATTTACAAACTAGACAATGTAGACTTGTACGGTCTGTCAGAATAGTGGACTAGTGACGCATTTTAACAAGTTGGAAAATAGTAAGTACTTCTGTGTTTCCAGTGGTATTCCCTGTAGCTATGAGTTAATTGAGAGCTTATTAAGTGCCAGGCATTATAATCACTAACTACTTTTTATGAATATTTCATTTAGTTCTCACAGCAATCCTATGAAGTAGATATTATTTCTATGCCATATATAAGAAAACTGGAGAAGTGAAGCTCAAGATTGCCCAGCCAGGAAAGGACAGAGGTGGGATTTGAACCCAAGATACCCAAGTATAAGCCTTTGAAGGTTGAAGGCTTCAATATTAAATGGGAAAAGTGGGCTGGAGAGGAAATAGGGGGGGTATGATGATTCCCATGATGCAGGAGAAAAGGAGCAGGTAGGGGATAGTCAATTATGTGTTCAGCAAATTTGCACTTTTCATAGGTTAAGGTGAACATGGAGTAGCTACCTGTGGCGATATTTCACCTTTTATCTGTAGCCTGCGTAGTGACAAAGGAAAGGTAGCTTCTTGTGTAACTCAGCTTCATTTTTTCCTTTTGGCAGAGTGAATTGGGGTCCTGAGTTTTTAATTTTCCTTTCACACTACAAAGCTAAAGGGCTTCTCACTTTTAGCCTCCTGTAAGAGATAAACACGTTTTCTTCTCTTACACAGTCAGCACAGCACAGAACATTTCACCTCTGGAAGTGATTTTACCCCATACACCAGGCAGTTTTCCATCAGACACCAACTGGGTGTACTATAATTCAATCCATGTCCGACACTCTCTCCCTGGAAATAGCATCAGATCCCACAAGTTGAGGGCCCAGTTCCACGAGCCTTTCCTCACTTCAGATGCCTGTCACAGTCCCCAGGTTATGACCTGTACTTCTGACCAACTGGCTCTAAATTGGGGGTTCTTATGACTCCTCTCCTCAGGTGCCATTAATTTGCTAGAGCGGCTTACAGACCGCAGGGAAAACACCTGACTTACATTTACCTATTTGTTACAATCAAGAATATTACAAAGATCCAGCTGAAGAACCAGATGGAAGCGATGTGTCAAGGTGCGTGCTTCCACGGCCTCTGTGGGTATGCCACCCTCCCTGAACCTCCACGTGTTCAGCAGCCGGGAAGCTCTCTCAACCCAGTCCTTTTGGGTTTTCATGGAGACCTCATTACAGAGGAATGGTTGATTACATCATTGGCCACTGGTGATTGACTCAACCTCAGCAACCATTAGCACCTCTCTCCTCTCCCTCATTAGGAGGGTGGGCAGGTGGGGCTGGAAGTTCCAATCCTCTAATCATAAGGCTGGTTCCCTGGAAAGCCCCCCCCTTTTCTGAGGCTATCCAGGAGCACCCCCCTTACAGCAGTCATGTCATTAACATGCAAAAAGACACCTCACTTTGGAGATTCCAAGGGTTTTACGAGCTGTGTGCCAGGAATGAGGGAACCCAGACCAAACGTGTTTGTTATAGGTCATAATATTACACTCCCATCCTTCTTGCCCATTATTTCTAGTTAATTTTCATACTGATTGCTTCCTAACTGAAAAATTTTCTGTAATTCCTCACTGACTGAGGAGGCGGCATACGCTTTTATCTTGGCCTCAGTGGCCCGTCCAGTCTGGGCTGTTATTATTTCCCCAGGGAAAGCCTTCTCATAGCCAGACTGTTCTTGGGGTTCCCTAACAGAAGGCTTATCTCTGCAAGTGGGTTTCTGTTGTTACTTCAGCTTAAAAAACCCTTGCTGTTATTTCTAGCTACAAATTAATTCAATTCATGAAACATTTATTGCAGGATGCATCTGGGCCAAAGAGACCTGGTCCCTTTAGAAACTTCCAGAGACGATAAGCCATGGCCCTCATCCTTCAGCGGATCACAGCGATAATATAACATATCCTTCCAGGCTGCCCTCAGTTTCTCTACTGCAGCCTTCAATGACTGCATCAAATGTCAGCCAGCTTTGCCTCTGAGGTTCGAGAGCATTTAATCACTTACGGCTTTGAATTGCTAGTTAGCCTTTCACGTATAGTGGAATGTTACTACTCAAAAGTGTTTTTGTTGTCAATTATACCCTAAAGCCAGGATAGAATATTTTATTGGATTGCAAATAAATTTGTGTCATGTGTTTTACCAGCATAAAAAAGAAAAAGCCCCTGTAATTTACAGGGTCAGGAAACACTCTTAAACCTGGCTAGACTGTTAATTAATTTAAGGGAAAAGAAAAGTTTGTTTTCTCCAAACGTTTTGCATCCCACCGGGTGGAAAAGGATGCTGGAACTTAAGAACACCCTAAGCATGTGCAGGGAGGAAAGGATACCGTTCAGGTGTTTTCCATTTAATAAGGCACCCAGTGGAACTAGTACCTTGACAGGGAAAGGGTTGGCTGAAATTCCTCACCCTGTTATAGGTAACACTCCAAGCGCCCTGGAACACCTTCCAGAAAGGCCGGGCTTCAGAAGCAGGTCAGCTTCAAGAGCAGCAAGCATACGCCAGGCCAGTGTCTCTGGGGGATGGGGGTAGGGGAATGTCCCTGGACCTCTGCATCATACCCCGACAGCTGTGCTTCCCATCGAATGACAAGAAAGGGAGGCTACTGAGAGGTGACATCATTCTTTTGTCTTCCATCTGTAAAATGGAGAGCTGGACTAAATGAGTTTAAAAGTCCTTTCTCTTGTTTTTCTTACGGTGATGGTTTTCTTTTAATATCTTCATGCTTTTCTCTGGTGTGTATAAAACAAAGCATGCTTGCTTATAATTTCACAAGCTCCTACGCACAGCAGAGCTTATGACCTAACATATTCACTTGTCATCAACTTTCTGATAACTTTCCTCTTTAGACGATGCTGTGAAATAGCAGTTTTGCTCTTCTTAATATCTTTTTCTCTTTTTACATTTGGAGCATTTCCAAACACAATGCTCCATTTGAAATGGCTTAGCCCCTAAAACTTTCTTTGGAAACGCCTTCATGTCCTAGGCTGAGCTCCTGTTACCGTTCAGAACTCCTGCCTCACACACAGCCACCAATACACACATTCAGCGTCTGGACAACAATGACCTGTATCATTTGCACAGCCACTGTATTCTACTGGGCTTCTGTGTACCGTGAGCGTTTGTAAATATTATCTCTGGTCCTTATAATGTTAATAGGATTGCAAGCATTGTTATTTCCATTTTACATATGAGAACGTTGAGGTCTACAAAGCTTAGCAGACTCAGGGTGAGCTAGTGAAGAGTCAGCTGGCACTTAAACCCAGGTTCGCCTGAAATCAAAGTTGACAACCTTTCTAGAAGCAAAGCTAGGGGACAAGAGGAAGAAGGGTTGACCTCTCTGCGTGCATTTTCGACGAATGATGGCTTTCAGATAATTTTGTTGCCACATGGAAATACATTAGAGGGGGTCAGTGTAAACAAGACCACAGAATGCGTAGGTACCATAGTCCCAAGGCACCCCTTCCGTGTACCCACCTTCAAATCAATGATGCAGACCCTGTTTCCACGTCTTCCCCCAAGCTTGTTTCTCATCAGTTTTACATCCCGTCTGTGCCATCTTCTCCTGCACCAACTGGGAGATTCACAGGTGGACATTATTAGTGGAGAAACCTGTTCGTAATGCCTGTGACTGCGTGCTGGAGTGTGGGCATGGGCTGCTGGGTGTTACGGCTTAGACTGAAGACAGCCATTCCCTACCCAACCCTGTGGCTAATTCTTGTTATAAAGTGGAATAAGCTTTCCTAATGTGAACAGCGCTTCTAATTAACCTCTTCCATATACTATGTTCATGTTTTGCAAATGAGATCTCTTTGAAGTGAAGCACTCCTTGATTCTAACATATGTACTCACAGGTGAGTCCCACCTATCCAGTTTTACAAACCTTACCTTGCATCTCTCTGACCTCCAATGGCCCTGGAAAAGGTCCCACCAGGGCTACTAATGTCCAGCAGTTGGGAAGTTCCAGGGAGGATGTCGGGGCCAGGGTGGGGAGAGCCTGTCTTGTAGCAGAGGCTACAGCTGTGGCTCATCTGTGATTTTGTTAGCTGCTGCAGCTGCTGGAAGGCTTCCTTGCATGGAAAACTATTTCATAATCCCCACATCCCTCTTTGGTAGAGAGAGAGGTTTCAGTCCTGCAACGTTGGCCTCGTTCAGCAATGTGGCCTATCATGGAAGTACCATCTCTGAGGCCTTCCTCCCATTCCCGTATCTCAGCATCTGATCCTCATCCTGGGAATGGTCAAGGAGAACAAGCTCTGTGAAGAGGCCCTTCTGAGTTGAGTTGCTGAGAACTGAGAGAAAGGGGAAGGCAAGGGGCTGAGAGCTATGACTGGCACTGTGAGCTTGGAGAAGTCACATCTCCTTTCTGGGCTTAAACCTTCAGATCTCCTATGACCCTGGGCATAATACGATTCAGTTTTACCTTCCTACTCTCAACATTCAAGATGCTGTTTCCTTGTTCTTCTCCATCTCGAGTGCTCTGGGACTGTTAGGGGAGAAAGGAGCTACAGGGCTCGTTGCTGGTTCCTCCTTTCACTCATGTGGATGTGATGAATCTTTATTGTATTTATTTATTTATTTGATACAGAGTCTTGCTATGTCACCTGGGTTGGATTACAGCACGTGATCTCGGCTCACTGCAAACTCTGACTTCCAGGTTCAAGCGATTCTCGTGCCTCAGCCTCCCAAGTAGCTGGGATTACAGGTGTGCACCACCAAGCCCTGCTAATTTTTTGTATTTTTAGTAGAGACAGGGTTTTGCCATGTTGGCGAGGCTGGTCTTGAACTCCCAAAGTGCTGGAATTACAGGTAGAAGCTGTTGTGCCTAGCTGTGAGATATCTTTCAAAACACACAGGCAGCACCAAGCCCACAAAGCCACAGGCCTCTCCTGTGGACCCCAGAAGCAGTGGTAGCAAGCACTGATCTGGGGCAGGAAGATGGGGTGGGAGGCACTGCTGGGACCTGGACTTGTACGGGTACGGACTTTTAGAGAAGGTGAGGGCCATGAACTTCAAGAGCAGGACCGCTGGGATGATCTTGCTCGCTTCATCCTGCGTCCTTAGTTTTCCATTCCCACTCTGTCACTAATTTCTCCAGACTGAGGTACTGTTCCTGGATGGCTCTTGTCATCTCCTCCCTGTCACATGCAGAATCACGTCTTACACAGAAAGATGGGGAGAGAGTTCTATCATCACACTCTTTCCCAGAGTGTCCTCTTAGAGCCTGCTGGAGCCTCCAGAGGCCCTGGCCATGGGGTCAGATGGTGGGTGCCTGCACCCTAATTGTCTGCCCTGTCATTCCTGGAGGCCCACAAGTGGCAGACTGTTGTGAGACTATTGTCTCCAAGCTCACAGTGCCAGTCACAGTGAGACTATTGTCTCACAAGGCAATAGTTCAAGACCATTTTCTCTCCCTAGAGAGAAATTGTCTATTACTACTGCTGGATTTCAGGTCACAGTAACCTTTCAGATCACACTTTCTTTTATTTATAATTTATTATTATTATGAGTTTCAAAGGAAAATCCTATTCATAGTGCTGCTTAGGACATAGAGGTATAAAGTGGAAACATACAGTCTTTGTTTAGGTAGGAATGGGTTCAAATCTTGGCTCTACCACTTCATGTATCCACAAGCAAACTCTTGGGCCTCTTCCTCTCCCTACTCCCTACTGCAAACCCTTCCCTCCCTCACATACCCCTGTCTCTATAAATGGCCACTCCACTTTTCAAATTACTCAGGCCCCAAGCCAACAAATCATTCATTGTATCCCATATTGAATCCATCAGCAGATCAGGACAGCTTTACCTTTGAAAGCTCTTCAAAGCCAGCCTTCCCCGTGACCCTCATCACTGCTGCAGTTGCCTGCACCCCTGCCATCTTGCATATACAGCACTGAAGCAGCCGCCTAGGTGACGTTCACTCTTGGTTTGCTAGAATCAGCATTCTCCCCAGAAGCCACAGGGATCCTCTGATAGCCAAAGTCAGATCAGGTCATTCTTCTTTTCAAAGCCCCCAGAGACTTCTCATCTCACTTAGTGTGAAAGACAATGTCACTACAATGGCCTTCAAGGCCATCCACAGTCCACTGTCCCTCTCACTTCACTGGCATCCCCTCCAGCCGCCTGACTTAACTCTGTCTAGATGCATTGGCCTCCGTGCTGTTCCCTGGATACATGTAGCAGGACCTTGGGTTAACAGGGATATGTGTGAAAAAAACGAGGGGTTTTCTAAGGTCATGGGCTCAGGCTATGTTCTTGGGAAGCACAGTGTCTGGGATATAGCTGGCATATTGTTCTGGGTTAGTTCTTTTTGAATATAAACTCCACATTGGCGGAATTTCTGACTGTTTTGCTCATTGATAACTCCTGAGTGTCATTACATTCCGGCATGTAATTGTTGCTCAGGGATGTGCTGTTGAATGAATGAACTGAGTTTCGGAGATCTGTATTTGAAAAGAGAAAGAGAGGAGCATGTATAGATATAAGTGCCAGGTCTGGAAACTGTAATTTGGAAGGAATGAATGGGGGGGTGATGTTGTTTTGATTTGAAGAGAACTAGGAAGGGGGATGGTGACTCTTCTTGAATACTTGCTGGTTGGTGTCCTGGAAGGGGAATTAAATGTATTCACTCTGTCTACCTAGGGTAAACAGTTGGAAGGAGTTACACTGGAAGGAGTTTTCTCTAATATGTTCAGAGGTCTGAAAATGGAATGGATTGTGTTGTCTATCAGAGAGTCCTTTTTCGGTTTAGGGTTCAAGCAGAAGCCAGTTGTCCATCTGTCACTGATGACTGAGAGAGCCCCTTGCATTGTGTAGACGATTGAACTAGGTCACCCGGGTGAACTAGATCTTTTTAACAATCCATGATCTTGACCAACCAACCAGTTCCTCTGATTTTTCTTTCTCATGCATTTTTATGAAGAAATTGACAGTCCAACCAATGTCATCACCGATCGAGTGACTGAAGACACAGCAACGGTCTCCTGGGACCCAGTGCAGGCTGCCATAGACAAGTATGTAGTACGCTACACTTCTGCTGATGGGGACACCGAGGAAATGGCAGTGCACAAGGACGAGAGCAGCACTGTCCTGACGGGCCTGAAGCCAGGAGAGGCATACACGGTCTACGTGTGGGCTGAAAGGGGCAACCAAGGGAGCAAGAAAGCTGACACCAATGCCCTCACAGGTAATGGAAGGTAGGGGGAAGGTTGATTTTTGAATCAGGAGGTCATTGCTCACCTGGCACCAGCTCTTTTGTTTGCAGGAGTCGGGAGGAGGGTTGCAAAAGCAATTTTGATTTTCATAATTATAATTTCTTTCCTTTTTAACCTCAAACAAAAGAGACCAGCTTTTTCACTTGATACAGAAGGTCATACTTATTTGAGTGGAAATTCCATATGCAACCCCCTCAGAATAGGGTAACACTTTATAATTTTCATCTTTTAGATGTGAAAACTCAAAACATTGGGCTGACAGTGAATCTGAATGCTTATCTCAGTTTGCAGTGGCTGTACAGGCACTTTGCATGTAATCTGGAGCTCTCTTTTAGACCATGGAAATGGTTTGCGTCCTGAGTCAACATTTACTAAATGGACCAATTCTTCCTTTCAGCGTTCAGAAACCATGAGGGTTCTCATACTTCTTCACCCAGTCATTCTGCTCAGGTTGTGCTGGCAGGGGTCCTGGGACTATACTGGGACATAGCCCGGCCATTCTTTCTGCTTAAATCCTCCTCTGGTGCTTCTCTGAATTTAGAGCAGCCTGATCCTGGAGCCCGCCTGAGGTTCTAAAACACCTGGCAGGAAATCAGAGGGGAAGGCTTCGCTTATTGTTTGCATTCTGTTCTGTACAGTCACTGAGTACAGAGACTCTTGGAGAAGCAGAGAGGTGGTTAGGAATATGGTTTCAGAAGCTTGACTGTCCAGGTTTTAACCCCAGCTCTGCCATTGACTGAGTGGCTTTGGGCAAGTTACTTTACTTCCCTTCCTGTTTCTTATTTGTAAAATGAGGGCATATGAGCATCTCCATCACAGCGTTGTTGGGAAGGTTCCATGAGTTAATTTATATAAAGTACCTAAAACATAGTGAGTGTGGCTTAAGTGAGAGCAGTGAGTTTTTAGAATGTCAGTCAGTATTTAGTCCTTGAAAGATTTTGTGGTGCGCAGCCTCCTGGATCCACGAGGGCCTCCAGAGTTGACCTCTCCTTCAGGGGAGCAGAGAAGATTTAGACAGTAAGGATGGTGATATCTAAATCTGTTTAAAGTCAAAGTCAGCAAATCTCTGTAAAGCGCCAGAGAGTAAATATTTTTGGCTTTGGGGGGGTCCAATCGTCTTTACTGAATTACTTAACTCTGCCAGTGGAGTGTGAAAACAGCCGCAGACAATGATATGTAAATGGACTGGTCGGACTGTGTTCCAATTAAACCCTGTTGACAAAGATTGGCAGTGGATCAGATTTGGCCTGTGGGTTGTAGATTGCCCCTCCTGGTTTACATTACACTTGACTCTCTGTTTACTAGGATTTTGAATATTGTGAAAAGAAAGAGCAATTGGGTCGGCATTTTTAAAACGAAGGAATTTGGAATAGAGAAGAACCTTCCCTTTTCTTAGTCGGGAATGGTGTGAGCAGCAGGGAGCCTCTGTGACCACTGGGAAGGAGTCAGACCAGAGCTGAGCCCTGGGGGGGACAAACATGAAGGACGTGGTTTCCCCTCGTGTGGCATTCACAATCCTTTGGGTAGAGAAGGAAAAGATAAAGGACAATGAGTTATGTTCTAGAGCAAACAAAAATCCCTGGAGCTATGGGAACCTGAAGAAAGGGGACCTACCACAGACTGGGACAGGAGAGGGCCCATGCGGGCTGGAGGAGGAGGGGACACCTGAATAAAGCCTAGAGGGATGGGTGGCAGTTAGGGTGCAGGCCGCATATGCAGAAGCTAAGGTGTGAGAGTATGACAGGTAATCTCCAGGGGTTTTAATGGTCTGTGCATTTGGTGCACTAGTGAAGGATGAAGCCAGCTCAGAACCCTGGGCACTAAATCATTTGTCCTCCCGTCAGATGTCTGTGGTGCGTGCCGAACTCTGTTCCCTAGGGCGAGTCATTGCACGTGGCTGTGCATTCCACATACTGGCCTGTCACTCTTGGCAAGTGGTCCTGTGCAGATATGAAATGCAGGTGCTATCACAAAAAGTACAGCTTTGTTGTTGTTGTTGTTGTTGAGATGGAGTCTTCCTCTGTCACCCAGGCTGGAGTGCAATGGCATGATTTCGGCTCACCACAACCTCCACCTTCTGGGTTCAAGTGATTCTCCTGCCTCAGCCTCCTGAGTAGCTGGGATTACAGGCACGCACCACTGCACCTGGCTAATTTTTTGTATTTTTATTAGAGATGGGATTTCACCATGTTGGCCAGGCTGGTCTTGAACTCTTGACCTCAGGTAATCCTGCCTTGGCCTCCCAAAGTGCTGGGGTTACAGGCCTGGGCCACTGCGCCCGGCCGGTACTGCCTTTTTTGAGGATGTAGTTTCTGAAAGAGGATAATAAAGACATGCTAACCATATACACAATTGCTTGGATTTTTGACTCTCTAAGGATGTGCATTTTGTGGACAAAGTGGTATTTCCTGCCTCAAATGCCATTAATAACGACTTATATTTAAGTATTTGCTGTGCAATATCTCATTTAGTATTCACCATAGCCTATGAGGGGGATACTGGTATTTCTCTCTTCATAGAGTTGAGGAGACAGACAAATTACACAGCTTGTCCACAGTTAGCTACCAGGAAAAGGTGAAGCTCAGGTTGTAACCCAGTTTAATCACAGAGAAACCCAAACAGGTTCTACAAGTATGATTCTTTTTATTGGCCCAGACCTCAGATACTATCAATTAAACAGCCTCCTGATTCCCTGGCCACAGACATAATGTTTTATATGGAAAGAACTGATGGCTCCTACTTCTACAATATTTTTCTTCTCAAAGACCATATTAGAGCAGATGCAGAGGTTTATTAACTATAATTGCTTTCAAGTACAAGGAGTCAGGAACTAGAAGAATATATTATATAAATCCAGGCTAAAGGAGAAATTTGGATGTGAAGACCAATTCTTTTTATCCCAAAGCAACTTACAGGAAAAGTTTATTGAGTTAATCAAGATGCTGGCTTTGTCTGAAAACTCTACTTCTCATTAAATGTTATTAGCTTATTACTGGAATTTCAGATCATTTACTTAATTAGACCTTTATGTTAACTCTATCACTGACGTATTACAGACTCTGGCATTTGTTGAGGTTATCATTTTGGCTGTGTCTGTGCTGGTCTTTCTGGAATTAGAGGGTAGTAAAGGCTACATTCTCCTTTCATCTCTCTTAAAGAAATTGATAGCCCAGCAAACCTGGTGACCGACCGGGTGACAGAGAATACTGCCACCATCTCCTGGGACCCAGTGCAGGCCACCATTGACAAGTACGTGGTGCGCTACACCTCTGCTGACGACCAGGAGACCAGAGAGGTTCCGGTGGGGAAGGAGCAGAGCGGCACCGTCCTGACGGGCCTGAGGCCAGGCGTGGAGTACACGGTGCACGTGTGGGCCCAGAAGGGGGACCGAGAGAGCAAGAAGGCCGACACTAAGGCCCCGACAGGTAACAAAAGAGGGATGGTCAATTGGAATTGAGTTTTGAGCTTGTGGATTTGAGTGGGTATGGTATCAAAGGATACCTGAGCAGAGAGACTTTGCAATTAGAAGTCTTAAGGATGAAACACTGAGCCCTAGTGGTGATGGCAGTGGGCCGTTCTTCCCTGACAGTGATGAGCTGTTCATGAGACCACTCAGCCTACTGCGAGGGAGAAGTAAAGTCTTATGGTAACAATGCTTTTAGCAGACTCAGCGAGGATGTGTACAGGATCTGGTCATTGCAGTGCTTGTGATAATAGTTTTAGAGTACTCATCAGTGAAGTAGCCCTTGATAAAACGTTAAGTTAGGAGCCCTAAATGTCATGGCAGCTGTTTAATTGGAGGTCATGATGTACCATATGCTGCTGAGAAGACATCGTTCCTCCCACATTTTAGAGAACTGAAAGCCAAGAAGGAATGCCTTATTTATAATGATTCCTCCTTTGAAATTCAGAACAAAGGGCTACTTTCTCCCTAGACTCCCAGTGGAGACTCAGGATGAGAATGCCATTGCCTTGTTCTAAAGGAGCTCTGGAAGATGAAAATGATGAAGATGGGGGGTTGACTATGCCTTCCATGGCTTCAGAGCTTAAACATTTCCAAACATTTCCTTCCAGACATTGACAGCCCCAAAAACCTGGTGACTGACCGGGTGACAGAGAATATGGCCACTGTCTCCTGGGACCCCGTGCAGGCCACCATTGACAAGTACGTGGTGCGCTACACCTCTGCTGACGGAGAGACCAGGGAGGTTCCGGTGGGGAAGGAGCAGAGCAGCACCGTCCTGACGGGCCTGAAGCCGGGCGTGGAGTACACGGTGCACGTGTGGGCCCAGAAGGGGGACCAGGAGAGCAAGAAGGCAGACACCAAGGCCCAGACAGGTAAGGAGTGAGCATTATTGCTGTGCTGCTGCTTTGCTCAGGGTCTGTCTACATGGAGTTTCTTCTCTGACCTTGGGATAAAGGGGGGCTTTATGGAGGAGCAGGTTGGTACCCTTCCATAATGCATTGTGTACCGCTCACTTCCTTTTATTGGCCTCTCTTAGAATGCCTATTGCATGTGGTGGTCTCCAAGCTCTGGTCTTTAAAGATGGCTGGCCACCATGCATAGTCCTTTGTTCTTATGCCTGAGTACCTTTGTCATTAACACACTAACTGCTTCACCTTGACAGGAATAAATATCAGGAAGTAACTATTATGCTGAGGGAGCCAGACTTAGGGATTGTGATCAATAAACACCTTAAAAAAAAATCCTCCTCACCTGTTTAAACCCTTGGCAAGCTTGTTTTTGTTCCTGCCCTCTCTCTGAATGAATGTTCTAGGCAGAAATAATAAGTGTTTCCTGAGTTAAACATAAGCAAATATCTAGTCATTTTTAGTCCCCCAAATGTATCATTTTAGTATTTATATCTATTTTCATGTAATAATCCATACTTCCTCACATGAAATCTTCTCCTCTCTCTCGGCTTGGGCCACCTGTGGGCCAGCTGCCTACTCCAGGGGATACGTACAGTTTCTCTTGTATTTCTTCCTGTGTACCCCAGGCACTGCTCTTTCAGCTTGCTGTATGCAGTTTTTCACCCGTGTATCTTTGGCGTTGCTGGGAGAGGTAAATTGATGAGAACTGAGGGATAAGGATGGGGAGAGGTGAAGGTCAGGAAGGAAGGGGAGAGGCGAGGGGTCAGGAGGGGGAGAGGTGAGGGGTCAGGAGGGGGAGAGGTGAGGAGTCAGGAGGGGAAAGGTGAGGGGTCAGGAGGGGAGAAGCTGAGGGGTTAAGGAGAAAGAAAAGTGAGGGGTCAAGAGAAAAGACAAGCCATGGGTTAAGGAGGAGGGAGGCCAGGATCGTGGAAGGTCATGCTTGACTACGTAACAGGTGTTTGGGCCTGCCCTGGAGCCTGATGAGTGCTGAAGCCGGCTGTGTCATGAAGCACTTTTGTCCTCTTCCACTGTGGGTCTCACTGTAGGGAAATGCCTGTCTTCCACTGGTCTCCTACTCCCCTTCCTTTGCCAATACATCAGGGGTTTCCCCGGCACCTCTGGTGGGGTCGCCTTGCCCCTCTAGGTGGTCCTCTTGGACAGCTTCTAATGCCACACTCTAATGCAACCCCAGGCCTACCCTGGTGTGCTGGGCCCAAGTCTGGTCCATGGAGAACCTGCATGCATCCTTTGTCCATTCAACCGAATGTGCAGCTCTTTTGCCATGCTACAGCCTCTCTTTGCTCTGTGTCGGAGCAACCAACTATTTTCTTACCTCTTAGATATTTTAAGCATATGTCAGACACCAGCCCATAGTGTTCCTCAAGCTTTGGGCAGGGTTTCTCACCCTTGGCACTGTTGCTATTTAGGCTGGATAATTATCTGTTGCAGGGGTCCGTCTTGTGCATTGTAAGATGTTTAGCAGCATCCCTGTTGTCTCCCCCATCCCACACTGAGTTGTGACAACCAGAGTGTCTCTAGACATTGTTGATTGTCCCTGGTTGAGAATTGCTGCTCTAGGGTATACAAAACAAAGGACATAAGGGATTCCATTGAAAACTGCTTATTCAAACAGTTGGGCCTCACTCATGGGACTCACAGTGTATGTTTTTCCAAATAAATCCCTTCTTAAAGTCCCACCTCATTGGCCTCTCCAACCACTTTTATAGGGTGAAGATGATTGGTCAGCCAAGGGTCACAAAACTGTTGTTGATCTTGCCTTAGCTGTGGTCCCTCAGGTTGGAATGTAGATACCCATTTTCTTGGAGTTACAGCCTAAACCAACATGTGTAATAGGATGTATGAGAAAGACTTTGGGAAAATGGCTTTTACAATGAATTATTTAGAACAAAGCAATGCTACTATTTTTGTGTGTGTGTGTGTGAATGTATTTTTAAGTATCTTCTGTGTGTGTGGTATGGCGGAGCGTAATTTCTTGTATTTATAACATATTAACAAACTGGTATTAATAATGTTAGCTTATGGTCATTGTGCATCTACTAGTGCTAAGAACTGTCAGAATAGACATTTGTTTCTTTTTTTAAAAATTGATACATAATAATATACATATTTATAGGTACATGTGATATTTTAATACATGCATGCAATGTGTGATGATCAAATCAGGGTAATCAGGATATCCATCACCTCAAACATTTGGCATTTCTTTGTGTTAGGAACATGTCAAATCTTCTCTTCTAGCTATTTTGAAATGTGCAATAAAGGATTGTTAACTGTAGTCATCCTACTGTGCTATGAAACACTAGAACATATTTCTTCTATCTAACTGTATTTTGGACCCTTAAGCCAACTTGTGTTCATTCCCCTGTTCTTCCCAGCCTCTGGTAGCCATCATTTTACTCTTGACTTCCATGAGATCAATTTTTTTAGCTCCCACTTGCGAGTAAGAACGTGCAATATTTGTCTTTCTGTGCCTGGCTTATTTCACTTAACATAATAACCCAGTTCAATCCGTGTTGCTGCAAAGGAAGGGATTTTATTCCTTTTTATGGCTGAATAGTATTGAATTTTTTTTGGTGTGTGTGTGTATATATATCACATTTTTAAATATCACATATATAAAATGTGATATATATATATCACATTTTCTTTGTCTATTCATTCACTAGTGGACAGTTAGGTTAATTCAGTATTTTGGCTATTGTGAATAGTACTGCAGTAAACATGGGCATGCAGATATCTCTTTGATATACTGATTTCCTTTTTTTTTTTTTTGGATGTGTACTCAGCAATGAGATTGGTGGATCATATGGTACATCTACTTTTAGTTCTTTGAGGAACCTCCATGCTTTTATTCATAGTGGCTGTACTAATTGTCATTCCCACCAGGAGTGTACTAGTATTCCTCTTTCTCCACATTCTCACCAGTACCTGTTACTGTTTGTCTTTTTGATAATAGCAATTTTAACTGGGATGACATGATACCTCACTGTGGTTTTGATTTGCATTTCCCTGGTGATTACTGATGTTGAATATTTTTTCATAAATGTTTGTTGGCCATTTGTATGTCTTCTTTTGAGAAATGTCTATTTAGATTATTTGCCCATTTTAAAATAAGATTATTGTTATTATTTTGCTATTGAGTTGTTTGAAATCCCTATGTATTCTGTTTATTAATACTTTATCAATAGACAGTTTGCAAATAGTTTCTCCCATTAGGTAGGTTGTCTCTTCATTCTGTCTAATATTTCCTTTGCTGTGCAGAATTCTGCTCTTTAGCTTGATATATTTCCATTTGTCTATTTTTGCTTTTGTTGCCTGTGCTTTTGAGGTCTTACCCAAAAAAATCTTTGCCTAGGTCAATGTTCTAAAGTGTTTCCCCAATGTTTTCTTCTGTAATTTCATAGTTTCAGGTCTTACATTTAATTCTTTAATTCATTTAAATTTAATTTTTGAATAAGATGGGAGATAGAGGTCTAGTTTTATTCTTCTGCATATGGATATTCAGTTTTTCTGGAACCGTTTATTGAAGAGACTGTTCTGTCCCCACTGGATGTTCTTGCTGCCTTGTCAAAAATCAGTTGGCTGTAAATATGTGGATTTAGTTCTGGGTTCTTTATTCTGTTCCATTGGTCTTTGTGCCTGTTTTTATGTCACTATCATGCTGTTTTGGTTACTGTAGCTTTGTAGTACATATTAAAGTCAGCCTCTAGCTTTGCTATTTTTGCTCAGTATTGCTTTGGCTATTTGGGGTCTTCTGTGGTTCCACATGAATTTTAGAATTGTTTTTTCTAGGCTCATGCTTGTAATCCCACTTTGGGAGGTTGAGGTAGGCAGATCACCTGAGGTCAGGAGTTCAAGGCCAGCCTGGCCAACATGTTGAAACTCCATCTTTACTAAAAATACAAAAATTAGCTGGGCGTGTTGGTGGGTGCCTGTAATCCCAGCTACTCGGGAGGCTGAGGCAGGAGAATTGCTTGAACCTGGAAGGTGGAGGTTGCAGTGAGCCAAGATTGCACCATTGCACTCCAACCTGGGCAAAAAGAGTGAAACTCTGTCTGAAAAAAAAACAAAACTCCCAAAATTTAGCTTGGCCTAGTGGTACATGCCTGTAACCCCAGCAACTGGGGAGGCTGAGGCAGGAAAATCACTTGAATCTGGGAGACAGAGGTTGCAGTGAGCAATATTCATCTCTCTCCCCAAACTTGGGACGTTTTCAGCTATTATTTCATTGAGTAGGCTTTGTATACCTTTTTACATCTCTTTTTTTCAGGGACTCCTATAATATGAATATTTATTCACTTAATAGTATCCCATAGGTTTTGTAGGCTTTCTTTGCTCTTTTTAATTTTTATTTATTTTTCTCTTACTGGGTAATGTCAAACAACCTATCTTCAGAAATTCTTTTTTTCTGCTAGATCAAGTCTGCTGTTAAAGCTCTTTATTACTTTTTTTATTTCATTCTTGGATTTGTTAGCTGTGTTTCTTTTTTATGATATCTATCTCATCATTGAATTTCTCATTCATGTCATGTATTATTTTTCTGGTTGCATCAAATTGTCTATCTCTATTTTTTGAATTTCATTAAGTTTCCTTAAGATCATTATTTTGAATTCTTTTTCTGGCAATGTATTGATTTCTTTTTAATTGGGGTCTGTTCCTGGAGAGTTATTATGTTCCTTTGATGATATCATATTTTCTTGCTTTTTTCATGTTCCTTGTGTCCCTGCATTGAGGTCTGTGCATCTGGTAGAACAATTGCCTCTTCCAAACTTTCTAAAGTGGATTTCTTAGAGAAATGCTTTTACCTTGGTTGAATTTTAATGTGCCAGTTGGGAAGGGTGATTCATGTAGGTCCAGTGGTATATTCTCTGGGCAGCTTCTTTGGCTGTGTTTGACATCAGCAATAACTATGGGCATATCAGTGGCACAGACTATAGAAGTTTGTGGTAGTGGTGGTGGCAGCATAGGTTGTTAATGTCCTTGGTGGCAAGGGCTATTACAGCAAGGGCTATTCTATTCTCATTTTCTCCACAATGGGAAGGCTTAGCTGAAGGAATCCCTCTTGGTGTCAGGTATGACATGACTTGGAAGCAGGTGCCATTGCACTGGGTTTCAAGTACAGGTGCTCAAAGCAACTGTGGGGCAAACTCTTACTTAGGCTCAGGGTCTTGTGAACCTATAGTAGTACTTGAGTCTTGGGATGCAGAATGATCTCTGTGTCAGGGCTGAATATAGGTTGTCATAGTGTTGAGCAACTTGGCTTCAGGAGGTCAGGTTGTAACTGTAATTCTACCCCTGGTGGGCAGGGCATAGCCCTGGTTTAACTTGGAGGAAGAAGTACTCTGGAAGTTTGAGCTCATGGTGCAGGGTATGGCTGTAATTACTGTAATTTGGGAGCCTGCACCAATAGAGCTCAGTGGCAACTTGGATCCCTAGGGTGAGGAATTGTGTAGTGGTGATTCTAGACTCTACAATGGTGGGACTTGGAAGTATCCCAGTCTCTGTGAGACCAGGTGCAGTAGCAGCAAGTACCCCAAAATAATCAGGCACACTGTTTTTTTGGGATCAAGCAGGGCAAGGAGCAGCACGGCAGTGACTCTACTCTCTAGGAGAGGATTGTCTCAGGGGCTCAGACTCAAGGGGCCTAGTCCAGCTCTAGGGATGCAGAATACTAGAGCTCTCGGGCTGGTAGGGTTGGGTGTCTCAGCCAGCCACTGCTGTATTTCCCTGGGACCTAGGGTACTGTGTCAGCAAAGCCCTAGGTTGTGCAGCTGCTCAGCTTGGCTGAGCCGCTGATTCCCCAGTGAGCAATGTGCTATTCCAGCTCAGTCCTGAGGGATATGACTATTGCGGATGGCCTCAACACCATTTTCCTGGAATATAGGACTCTGTCAAAATCATTGTTCACTTAGGATCTGAAACCAGTGCAATTTCAGTTCAGGTCCCTACAGGTAGGGTGCTGCCTACCGTGAGAGAAGGGAATGAAGCTCTTTTACCAAAGTACTGATTCTCCAGAAAAGAGCGTGCAGCCTCAGCTCTGATTTGAGTGGGTAGTGAAGGGGGACATGGAGTGGTTCCATGGCTGCTTGGACCCATGGGGAAAGGTGTAACAGTTGCTCACAGCTCCACTTGGAGATGTCAGGACACTGGGTGCTGGTGTCTCAGTAGCAGTTTACCCTCAGGGATGAAGGCAGTATCCCAGTCTCTGTGAGGCCCGGTACAGCAGCAGCAAGTAGCTCAGGGGTGAATGGCTACTCACTCCCAGAGCAAGACACATGCCAACAGTAGGTCCACTTCTAAGATGGTGTAGCACAATTGCCATGCAGGCCACAGTGGGTGGGACACAGTGTTGGCTCCATCTCTGAGGGAGAACAGTTGTGTGCCTGTAGGCAGCTCCCTTAGCTGGGCTTAGTGCCTGTGAGAGCTGTAGAAGATCCCAATGGTGAGGATGGTAGATGTACAAGGTGCTGATGTGGGCTGCTGGGATCTTCTTGCTTACCTTTTGCTGTTAGGAGAAGTTCTTCCTGGCTTCCAGCTGATCTTAGCTGGGCAATGGGGTGGTGGGGTCCCAGTGTTTCCTTCTGTTCTTTATGCGGCTATCCTGAGTTTCTGTGCTCACCAGGGTTTCTGTTTCTCCTTAGACATAATCCTGCACTCTCCTTTACTTGTTTTTTTTTTTTTTTAATGTGTTTGTTTATTCTTTGTTTTAGTTGTTTTTGTGCAGAAGATGAGTGTAAAAGGATTCTAAGTGGCCATCTTGCTGATGTCACACTAGGGAACATGTTATTAACTGATATAATACTCAAAATAACTCTGTAGAATATGTAGTAATATTATTTTCTCCTGACTTTTTTTTTCTTATGGAGAAAATTGAGGCAGAGAGGTAGGTTTGCCCTTGATTACATTTTAAATTACAGAGTGAATATTCTGTGGCTTCAGAGTGGTAAACTCTGTAATCGTTTAACATTTTCAAAGCCCCTTTTCTACATGACATTGTTTTCTCTTGGTTTACAGAGCTACTGAGAGATAAGTGCAATAATCATTAACAACCCCATTTTACAAATACAGAAGTAAAGCAAAGCAACTTGCCCAATGTCAAAAAAACAAGTTAGTCATTTATGAAATTAGATACATGCATAGAATATTCATGCTCGAAAGAATCTTAAAAATCCATCTAACCCAAACCTCATATTTTACAGATGAAGAAGCTGAGGCCCAGCCAGGGGCAGCTGAGTTGTCCAGGGCCACAGCTAGCAGGTGGCAGAGCTAGGATCAGATTGCTAGTAACCTGGCTCCATCCTGCACCTCTGCTCTGCCTCTCTGGGCTGGGACTAGAACCCAGCTCTTCTGATTTTGAATTTAGAACTCATACCACTCTCTTGTGCTGCCTTGTTGAAAATCCAAGAATCCAGCTGTGGGGAGCTATATCCATAAAACAACTAGAAACCAACATATGATATGGAGAAACCGTAAGGACAGGAAACCACCTCACCACAAGTAAAATGCCCAGAAGATCTCACTCTTTGGTACCTGTTAATAGTGTTTATTGATCAGCATTTTTTTTTCAGACATTGACAGCCCCCAAAACCTGGTGACCGACCGGGTGACAGAGAATATGGCCATTGTCTCCTGGGACCCAGTGCAGGCCACCATTGACAGGTATGTGGTACGCTACACCTCTGCTGAGGACGGAGAGACCAGGGAAGTTCCAGTGGAGAAGGAGGAGAGCAGCACTGTCCTGACTGGCCTGAGACCAGGTGTGGAGTACACGGTGCACGTGTGGGCCCAGAAGGGGGCCCAGGAGAGCAAGAAGGCCGACACCAAAGCCCAGACAGGTAAGGAGCATTGTTCTTTGGGAATATAAGAGCTTTTATGCTAAGTCAATGGATGATAAGTTTTGTTTTCCTTCTCTAACACTGGCAAAAATCAATGATTAATGGAAGGATGGGATGGCATCCCTTCATAGCAGATGGCACACACCATCCCTCATTTCCCTTTAACTAGTTTCCTTGTGGAAAGTCTCCAAGCTCTGACTGCATGGTCATGTCCATCAACTCCTCTTCTGACTGCATGGATCTTTTGCTGTCGACAGTATCGAGGGTCTCTTAGTGAGTTTGTGAGTGGGAACAGAAAATCGAAATCAAATATGGTTAATAGTATAATGAAAATTTGACTTTAAGAATGTAGACATCACATCTGCCACAGCAAGGAGATGTATATCATTTGTTTTATGACAAATCATGTTTTAACTATAGAGCAAATTTATAACTAGAAATTATAAGTTCTATGAAGGAGATGACATGGTGTAGGTATAGAGAATAATGAGGTGGTGATGTTTCTCAGATGGGATGGGTAAATAGTAATGGGATACACACTGACCAAAACACCCACATAGTGGGTGCCTACACAAGAAAGGAGCATATGCCTCTCTGTGGAATAGCAGAGTGTGCGTGAGGCAGAGTTTTGAAGACAAGGATAACTCCTGCATTATATTCTTATTTTAGAGGAAGCAATATCTAACCATATTTCGTACAGTGATTTAATCAGCAAACTAGCATGACAAGTGAGTCTATGATATCCCAGAGGATATTCAACCAGGGTTTTACTTTTTGCGGATTCATTTAATAATATGCAGTGAGCACTTTCCATGTGTCCTACCCCCTACTGGGCACTGGGAACACAGGAGAATAGGATGCAGCCCTCCTCTGGGAGCTTACCTTTGGAATTGGCTTTTAGAATCTTCTACTATGAAATAGGAGGTCTTCACTGACAGATGCCAGACACAAAACTGTTAGTTCCTCGTGAGCAGAGACCATGTCTTTTCCAACTCTGGATTTTGCACACTGTCTAGAGCATTCCACATACAGAGTTGGGGCTTGATATACCGTTACTAGATGAATAAAAGATTTGTTTTGCTAAACACTTGGTAGAGGTGACAGCCCATATTTTCAGGTTCCTGTCTATTGTACTTTCTATTGAGGAGCAAGGTATATCTCAGAGGAGATGATGTCTGTGAAACAGCTAAAAATGAAGCAAGAGCGCAACAGGTGGAAACCCCACAAAACATGAAAGGGTTTCACCCTACACTAAGCGACCAACAGTTGCTGCACTCTGAGACTTGTTCATAGCACATATTCATCAGCACTTCTTTTCAGACATTGACAGCCCCAAAAACTTGGTCACTGACCGGGTGACAGAGAATATGGCCACTGTCTCCTGGGACCCCGTGCAGGCCACCATTGACAAGTACGTGGTGCGCTACACCTCTGCTGACGGAGAGACCAGGGAGGTTCCGGTGGGGAAGGAGCAGAGCAGCACCGTCCTGACGGGCCTGAGGCCGGGCATGGAGTACACGGTGCACGTGTGGGCCCAGAAGGGGGACCAGGAGAGCAAGAAGGCCGACACCAAGGCCCAGACAGGTAATAGGAGGGAAGGGAAGGGCAAACTGGGGTAATTAATGCAAGTTGATCTGTTGCAGCTGAGCAATGATGCAGCTGCTTTTGGTGTCTGTAACCTCAGGGCTGCAGACTGATTTAGGAGAGTTTGCTGTCAAAAAAACTTTCATTAACCTAAAGAAAGAACAAAGTGTTACAGGAAAGAACTCCCGATCCAGACCCTTAGAGAAGGGTTCTTGGATCTGGTGCAGGAAAGAGTTCAGGACGAGTAGTTAAAGTGAAAGCAAGTTTATTAGGAAAGTAAAGGAATAAAAGAATCGCCACTAGCCACAGGCAGAGCAGCCCGGAGGACTGCTGGTGGTCCGTTTTTATGGTTATTTCTTGATGACATGCTAAACAAGGCGTGGATTATTCATTCCTCCCCTTTTTAGGCCATATAAGGGAACTTCCTGACTTGTTGCCATGGAATTTGTAAACTGTCATGGTGCTGGTGGGAGTGTAGTCGTGAGGATGACCAGAGGTCACTCTTGTGCTAAGTTCTATGAAGGAGATGAACATGGTGTACCAGGCACAGAGAATGATGGGGTAAGGGTGTCCTGTAGATGGGAAGGGTGAGTAGTAATAGGATATACAGGAGCACTCAAATAACAGTTGCTTAAGCAGGAATGGAGCATATTCCTGTCTGTAGAATGACAAGGGCTGATACGGTAGCTCCTCATCCAGGAGACCCAGGCTTCTGTGACTGTTGCTTAGTCATCCCTAGCAAGTTGCCCTCCTTTACCTGGTCGCTACCCAGTCTGCATTGTAGCCAGTGGGAAGAGGCATGCTGACGGTCAGGGCATGACTGGGATGTTGCATATATCAGTTCTTCTCATCTTCCATTGCCAGGTCCCAGACAGACCTCACTGCAAAAAAAGACTAGGAAATGAGATCTTTAGCTGGATGGCCCTGTGCCCAGCTTTAACTTTGGTTATGCTGTCCTGTCCAACAGCAGCTGCTAGCTACATGTGGCTAAATTATTTCTATTTTTATTTTTATTTTATCTTCAGAGACAGGGTCTTACTTTGTTAGTTAGGCTGGACTACAGTGGTATGATCGCGGTTCACTGCAGGCTTGACCTCCCAGGCTCAAGCCATCCTCCCACCTCAGCTTCCCAAGTATCTGGGACCACAGGTACATGCCACCGCTCCTGGTTAATTTTTTATTTTTTTAGAGATGGGGTCTCACTATGTTGAACTCCTAGGCTCAAGTGGTCCTCCTGCCTCAGCTTCCCAAAGTGCTGGGATTACAGGCATGGGTCACCATGCCCAGCCTAAATTTTAACTAATTTAAAATAATTAAAATAAAATGTTCTCACTTGGATTAGCCACATTTCAAATGGTCAGTAGCCACATGTGACTAACAACTACAGTATTGGACTGTGCAGATTGTAGAATATTTTCATCTTTGCAGGGAGATCGGTTGGATAGTGAGTGTGCTTATTGAAGACGGGGGAGAATGGATGTTGGGGCAAGCTAGCCATTTCTGGCAGAGGGAAAGTATGTGTAATGGCCCTCAGCTGCAATAGTACCTGGCAGGGTTGGAGAAAGAAAAGAGGCTGGTTTTGCTGGAGCATAGAGGGTGGGAGAGCAAGTGGCCTGAGATGAGGTAGGAGGAGCAGAGGCAGGTCAGCCAGGACCTTGTGGTGCTTAGAGGACAAAGTGGGCTATATTTATTAATACTAGAAGGGTGATAGTATGCAATGTTTATTTAAAAAACATTTTCCAGGCCACGGTGAGGAGAATAAATGGAAATGACAAGGAATGAAGTGGTGAGATTAGTAGAGAAGCTGCTAGGAAAGTCGGATGCAAGATGGGGATGGTCTAGACAGGTGTGATGGCAAAAGGGTAGAGAAGAGGGAGTGTCTGGAATATATTTTTGAGGTGTGAATGATAATACCTGTTGATAGATGTGGGGTTGGAAGAAAATGAGGACTCAGTTATGGCCTGTGTTTTTTATTTGAGCAACATGGAAGACTGGACCACCATTTCTTGAGAAGGGATTGGGGAAGAACATCAAGACTTTTAAATATTTAAGTTCAAGATATTTGTGAGATTCCTTGGTTAATTGAGTGATTTGTTTATTGATTACATAACTATTTACTGAGTGTCCAATACAGGCCAGGCACTGTGGCGGAGATGCAGTTGTATGAACTAGTCAGGGGCTCAGAATTAATAGATATTGTGGAGTGATTAGCATCTAGTTGGTATTTAAAGCCATAGGCATGAATGACATCACCTAGGAGGAACAGTAGAGAGAGGAAAAGAGAGAGCTTTGGGACAGTTGCGTGGCCCTTACCTGTAATCCCAGAACATTGAAAGGCTGAAGTAGGTAAATTACTTGAGCTCAGGAGTTCAAGACCAGCTTGGTGAAATCCTGTCTTTAATAAAAAAAAAAAATACAAAACTTGGCTGGGTGTGGTGGCGTACACCTGTATTCCCAGCTACTCGGGAGGGTGAGGTGGGAGGATTGCTTGAGCCTGGGAGGTTAAGGCTGCAGTGAGCTATGATGGTGCCACTGCTCTCCAGCTTGGGTGACAGAGTGAGACCCTGTCTCAGAAAAACAAAACAAAACAAACAACAAAGAAAGGGAACTTTGGGTGCTCCAGTGTTTGAAGGTAGCTAACAAAGGACTGAAGAAGATCTAGCAAGTTAGGAAAATCAAGGGAGTATATAGTCATAGAAGCCAAGCAATGAAAGCATTTCCAGAATGAGGGAGTGGATCAGCTCTGCCACCTAGAAGTAGTGTAAAGTTGAGAAGAGCAAGTATCCATTAGATGTGGCAGCATGGATGTTGTTGGTGACCTAGACTAGCAGATTTAGTTGTGTGGCATAGAAAGACGCAAACACGATTGGAGAGTGAGCGATGAAGTTAAGGTATGTAGACATTTCTCCTGAGACAGTCTGTCAGTTCAGGAATGCAGAGAAATGGAATGATATGGGGAAGGATGGGGGATCAGACCTTGCTAGTCTGGGACTGATGACGGAGAAGAGATTGATGATACAGGAGAGAGAGGGCAGATCCACAGCAAAAGCCTTGAGAGAGTGAGAAGGCCCAAAGTTCAGAGCGAAGAGTATTGACTTCCACTTAAGAAGTCAATAGGAACCTGACCTAGACCCTCTATCTCCCTGGGCCTCCATTCTCCTCCCCTTTCATAAGTCAGGAAGGTTGGAGAATATGACTTCTCGGCTCTTAAATTCTGTGAAACAAAATAACTAGATACCAGGGAGATCATAAAAGTGGTTTTGGTGGCTTATCTTGTTGCTCTGGAAGTTTTATTGTCATTTTGGTGAGAATTACAAGGACAGAAAATTTTTGTTTTAACAAACTAGGAGAGGATCTGATTCCTTCCAGTTTTAGATCCAGTGGTTTGTTTTCTTGGAAATGGAGACCAGGAGGCTTTGCCTCGTGTTTTAAGTGGAATTCTACCATTAGTAATGATAACATGATGAACACCTCCTGGTGATGGGGTGGTGGGATGGGATGCCTTCCTTTGTTCTAAAGTTCAGCCTTTTCTAAATCTTTTTTAAAAGAAATTGACAGCCCCAAAAACCTGGTGACTGACCGGGTGACAGAGAATATGGCCACTGTCTCCTGGGACCCCGTGCAGGCCACCATTGACAAGTACGTGGTGCGCTACACCTCTGCTGACGGAGAGACCAGGGAGGTTCCGGTGGGGAAGGAGCAGAGCAGCACCGTCCTGACCGGCCTGAGGCCGGGCGTGGAGTACACCGTGCACGTGTGGGCCCAGAAGGGGGACCAGGAGAGCAAGAAGGCTGACACCAAGGCCCAGACAGGTACTGAGAAGGACCAGGACAGGGGAACCCCTCACACTTACCAGGAGAGAGCCTTCCTCCATCAGTGGGCTGGGGAAGAGAGCAGGAGGGGTGTGGCCTTACCTGTGGGCATTCTTCAAAGTGGTTCCTTTTTCACCTCTTTGAGCTAATTAAGTTGACATAACAGCTCAGATAGGATGAGAAGCATAGAGGAAGCGGTGGTGTCACAGGTGACCTCCCTCACCTCCACCGGGCCCAGCGCTCAGACTCTCCACACCCTCAATGGAGAAGATGATTCGACCTCAGCTGCAGTTGGGAGAAGAGAGAGGCAGGAGCCTTTTCTGTTTCCATCTTCCAGAATGGGGGCAATGGGAGTGCATCTTTCTCCATTCCATTCTCAGTTGATGATGAAAGGTGCCTGAACTACACCTATTTTGTGTGTGTGATGGGGCCTGTGGTCTTGGCGGAGCTTCACAGAGGTCAGGCCCCAGAGGCACCTGGAAGAGAGCACTGCCCGCCCTGAGGTCTGCGGGCCTGTTCAGGCAGTACGGGCAAGGTCTGTCCATTCCATCCACGGCTGAGGGCACCAGGTGTAGCCATGGGAGCTAGAGGTGCCTTGAATTTCTCTATAATTTTTATTAGTTAAAATTAGCTTGCATTTTTAATCTAAAAAGTAATATAAAAGAGAATTTTAATTATTTATTATAGAATTATTATTATCATTATTAAGTTAAAATTAGCTTACATTTTTAATCTAAAAACTAATATAAAAGAGAATTATTATTCTCTCTCCTTGCCAATGAAGAAAGAAGGGAGGAAGGAAAAGCAGGAAGGACACTTAGGCTCATTTGCTATCTTAATTAGTGCTTATGACAGCACTGCTAGGAAGGTTAGCCCTACGTTTATAGAGGAAGTAAGACTGGTTCAGAAGGAAGTTTATTGAAATACCAACTGTCTTCTTGTCTCACAGATATCAGCGGCCAGCTTATAGTAAATATTTTCAAACTAAACAGAGATGTGAAAAAACGAACAAAAAAACTGGCTGGGTGCAGTGGCTCATGCCTGTAATCCCAGTACTTTGGGAGGCTGAGGCGGCAGATCACCTGAGGTCAGGAGTTTGAGACCAGCCTGGCCAACATGGTGAAACCCCGTCTCTACTAAAAATACAAAAATTAGCAGGGAGTGGTGGTGGGCACATGTAATCCCAGCTACTCGGGAAGCCGAGACAGGAGAATCGCTTGAACCCAGGAGGAAGAGGTTGCAGTGAGCCAAGACTGTGCCATTGCACTCCAGCCTGGGCAACAGAGGGAGACTCCATCTCAAAAAAACAAAGAACAAAAACAAAACAAAACAAAACAAACACACACACTCCTCTCCCTGTCACGGACTCCCTAGTACACAGTGTTTCTCTCCGGACGCAACCAGGACCCGGCATCTCCTTTCCCTCTTTCCCACTTCCTACCTCCTTTTCCCCTTCCTTTCTCCCTTATTTCTTTCTTCTCTTCTTCCTTCTTTACCTTCTCTTAGTTTCACCTTTCCCATTTTGAAGACAGCACTAAAGAGACTCTCATCTTCTTGCTTCATAGGAATGTGAAGTAGCTAAGACAGACATCTCAAGTCTGTAACCAGGGGGTGGTGGGCAGTCAAAGAGGTGGCAGGACGTTGCTTAAGACATTCGCATAGCCACAGTTTTGCCTTGATTGTGAAAGCAGGAAATTCAGTTTTTCTGTGAGATGGATAGAATAAAATCCATGCCAGATGTTATGCTGCAGAAAATCAAACCAAGTTGATATTACAGAAACTCAAAATTTGTCAAAACATCCTAATTCAAAACAACAGCTGTCTGATTTCTATTAAAATACTGCAATTCAGTTCTCAGCCGAAATGCTACTGGGTAGAAAATAGCCCGGAGATGTCTTTTTGGGAACTTCTAAATTAAAATAACATTCTGTGATAATGCTTTTTCAAAAAAGAAACTTCCATTCATATCTTCTTTGGTTAAAAAAAAAAAAAAAAAAAAAAAAAAAAAAGAGCCTTCTGACCAGTTATGATGTTGACTAGAATTTTTGCTGAGCCTTGGTTTTTCTGGTCTACAGTGCACACTCACTTACCCATGCGTTCCCTCTGGTGTTTGGGTGAGGAAGTACATTAAAGAAAAGCCCTGCTTTTCCTATATTCCTTCCCTTTCCCTCTTCCCTCCCTCCCTCTCTTCCTCCTTCTGTCTTTCTTTCTTTCTCTCGTCTATACAAGCACCAGTTCCCTCCCCTTCTCCGGGTGTGCATCTGAGGCCACATGCTTCATATGTGAGAAACACAGCTTTTTGTTTTTATACCAACTTATTATCAATCATAAGCCCCTATTCTACTTAGGGTGAGCTGCTTCCTCAGGGCTGTATGTAAATCTTGGGTAGTTTCCCAGTGACAGATATCGGGACCTGTCTGGCATTTCAGGTAACTTTCCAGGCAGGCAAGTCACCCTGGTTTCTCTGTGCAGGGCCCTTTCAGATCTGTGGCCCTCCCATCTTTCCATATCCCTTTGGAAGCCCTCCATCTCTGAGGATCTATCTGCCCATCTAGACTGTTCATATCCACCACTTTGTTGGAACCTGTCTGGGAAATGGGGGCCCAGATTCCCTTCCTCTGGGACCCACCTAATACCCTTTCTTCTTGTCTCTAATGGGTCTGCGCTTTTAGAAACAAAGGTCCGAAAGGGAAGTCAGAAAGGGAAGAACAGAGCCTACAACCTGCTTGAAAGGAGGAAGAGAAACGGGAGGTTATGGAAGGGGAAAATATAAACTGATATCTCAAAAATGACCTTGCGTCAGTAATAACATTTACCTGACTTTCTACATACAGAACTCGACCCTCCCAGAAACCTTCGTCCATCTGCTGTGACGCAGTCTGGTGGCGTATTGACCTGGACACCCCCCTCTGCTCAGATTCATGGCTACATTCTGACCTACCAGTTCCCAGACGGCACGGTTAAGGTATGGGAGATTCCTTGTCTTTTCTCCTGGTGCCTTCTCTTGTGTGTGCGAAGCAACTAACTCAGGCCGGTCAGCTCATTTGCTGGCCTCAGGGCCACCTGCTAATCTTTGTTGATCATATTGCTGGCTGTACATCTTCCTGGGTTATTTTGTTTATTGTTAGTCTTCCCAAATAAATGTAAGCTCTATGTTTGTCTGTTTCATTTATCACTGTATCTAAAGTGCATAGGACAGTGCTTAGCACATGGTAGATGTTCAACACATATTTATTGAATGAATTCATTAACCCTCATTTCAAGGGTTACACCTCCCCTTAGAATCTGAAGGCCAGCAAATTTTCAAAACCTGTCCCACTGGAAAATTATTATTCTCTCTCCTTGCAAAGGAGGAAAGAAGGGAGGAAGGAAAAACAGGAAGGACACTTAGGCTCATTTGCTATCTTAATTAGTGCTTATGACAGCACTGCTAGGAAGGTTAGCCCTATGTTTATAGAGGAAGTAAGACTGGTTCAGAAGGAAGTTTATTGGAATACCAACTGTCTTCTTGTCTCACAGATATCAGTGGCCAGCTTTACCTCCCCTGTTAATACCTCCTTAGCCCGGCATTGCCAGCCTGTTGCTGCCAGCCGTGGCTATAGTTAGAGCCCTCGTGTGTACCTGAAGGCTAAAGTCTCCCAGAAACTTGGCCGGTGATCCTGAAGCTGCAGTGCTGGGTGCCGGCTCTCAGCTGATGCTCCCAGTAGTGCTGACTCTCCATGGCATGGCTCTCCGGAGAAGTAGCTGGGACCCACTGTGATTCTGGGCTACCACTGAGGCTTCGGAGACACGAAACACTGTGCTGTCAGAGAGATTCTGTCATTAGCACCAGGGAATGATGTTGACACCTAGGGTGCTAGTGGGTGATAAACTGAGTCACTGGCTGTGTACTTTCTCTCTTGTTTGGCAGGAGATGCAGCTGGGACGAGAAGACCAGAGGTTTGAGTTGCAAGGCCTTGAGCAGGGTGCTACCTACCCTGTCTCCCTAGTTGCCTTTAAGGGTGATCGCCGGAGCAGAAATGTATCCACCACCCTCTCCACAGGTAGGATGGAATCCTGTATTCTGAACGACTATGCAGTGAGAACCAGCATTGGAGAGGCTAGCAAAAGAGCCCAGGGAGGAGCAAGTGGATACAGAACTATTGATTTCTCTAGGCATGGGGAAGTGGAAATGGGGTTATATGTTGAAAAGAAATCCACCCCACAGTGGGGAGACTAAAGAGAGGAGTGAGATAGAGTGTTATTTTGTGGAGGAGCTGAACTGGGGGAGGAAGTGATGTGAACTTGACCTTTTTTCTGGTACATTTGGGGAATTGATAAGAGCAGAGAGAGAAAAATAAGATATGAGTGAAGAGTGGGAAGAAGCAAAAGTAGGAAGTTATGCAATAATTTCCAAACAAAATAAACGGCCTTAAAATAGGGAGCAACTCCACCTCGTCCTTCCTTGCCCTACTTCTAACAGCGCTCTCTCTGCTTGGCTCCCAGTTGGTGCGCGCTTCCCACACCCTTCGGACTGCAGTCAGGTTCAGCTGAACCACAATGCTGCCAGCGGCCTGTACACCATCTACCTGCACGGCGATGCCAGCCGGCCCCTGCAGGTGTACTGCGACATGCACACGGACGGAGGTGGCTGGATTGTGAGTCACACAGAACCCCAGGGAGCTCTGTGTAGGGCCTTGTTTCTCAGGCCAGGACGCTGGTCATGGATGCTTCCGAGAGTGCTTGGAGCCCTGTTTCCTCCCCACCCTGGGAAGAAAGGAGTTTTGGTGGCTTGTAGCTGTTTTTAGAGAGATCCTGATGTTACAGGAAATGGGTCCCCATTCAGATCCCAAGAGAAGGTTCTTGGATCTCGTGCAAGAAAGAATTCAGGGTGACTCCACAGTGCAAGCAAAAGCAAGTTTATTAAGAAAGTAAAGTGGTGAAAGTACAGCTACTCCATAGACAGGGTGCGGTGTTTCTGAAAGTAAAAAACACATGCGCCATAGGTACAATACCTGTTTATATACAGGATAAAAAAAGATCATGAGGGGATGTGCTCTGTTACAGGGGTTTGTGATAAAGGGTTAATTTTCTTAATTATTATATTTTGTAAGAATCAATATTATGCAATCTTTAAAGCAAAATTAGGAATGCTCTGTTCTCAAGATATCAGGATATCAGGACATTCCTAAGTCTGGGTCTGTTTAGTAAACACTGTCAATCTGTTCCCTTAACCATAAACATCTGGAGGCTAGGAATACCTAACTTTCTGGGAATGCAGCCCAGCAAGTCTTAGCCTTATTTTCTTAGCACTCACTCAAGATGGAGTCGCTCTGGTTCGAATACCTCTGGCACCAACCCCCTGTAAGGAAAGAGTCTAGTGCCTCACCCCTGTCCTAGAATAGGCCTGGTTAGACTAAGTCTGATGACTAGGAAGGCTTGTGGGTTGATCATCATCTAGTCATGCCCTATATGTATGTGTTACCTATATTTTACCTTCTTCAAAGCACTTTTGCACACATGACCCTCACACAACAACTTTAGAGTAAGTGAGAGAGGATTGCTTTTCCTATTTTACAGATAGGGATAGTGAGGCCCACTCTCCCAGAAAAAAATGCCAGATTTCAAGACTGCAGCCTCCTGACTCATTGGTTTTCTCAATGAGTTCATCTCAGGTCATCCAAGATACACATGCGCAACCTGTCTGGGGAGCTCAGGCCTCTGAATTGGAGCCCAGTGTCCTAGTTCTGCACTCTGGCCGCACAGTACAGAAACAAGGCCTTTGAGGCTTTGATTGGAAAGATGAAAGCTCGAAAGAGGGAAACTCAGATAGTGCTCTAATTGTCCCTCGTCTATGTAGATGTTTTATTCTCTTGGGACATTGTCTGCCTAAACCACATGGCAGCTTCTTTGATTACATCAGCCTGATCCAATTATATGATAAGCTGCTTTTGAGGGTTGCAACCTGATCCTTCCATCTCCCCTTGCCCCTTTTCTCCCTGTGCCTGAATGATAAAGACTCTCACTGCCCCAAGCCAGCATGCAGCCTTAACCTGCTGTGCTTCTGCAACTCACCGTGGGAAAGAGAAAGCATGATCTCATGGTGCTCAACTGTATTCATTTACACATTCACTCAGGGACCTGGGAAACCAAAGACACTTGAGCAGCCATGAATAAAAAGATACCATCTGATAAGCAGCAATGAAGAAAACTTATTATCTGCACAGTGGCATCTGATGACTAGAAAGGCAGTAATTGGGTTGGCTGGGGGAAATTCCCAATTGATTTATAAAAACAACAGAACAGAATATAACATGGGAGGTCTTCTACCTGACCAGGTCCAAAGGACTGTACCTGCTGCTTTTCGTCAGTACCACTGTAAGGCTAAACCTTCTGTCCCTTTATGCCTGTAAATGACCTTTGGAAGGAGGCCTGTACTGGTAAGTGTGGCCTTTCTGTGAGCCAAGCTCCCACAGAGAAGGAAGCGTTTGTCTGGGGCAATGTTTAGAAAGAGATCTGTCAGTCTGTCTGCCCTGGAATAGCCATGACTTATTGTACAAATATTTATTGAGTGCCTACTATGGCTGTCAAGGTCATGTGGAATTAGATGTCTTATCAATTCCAAGTGTGTGTAGGTACTTTTCAGTTTTGCTTCCTATAAAAGAATCCAATTTACTGTGACTGGAACTCCCTTCCTTCTCCAAACAGAGGAATTTTTGAAAAGAAAGCGGTCCACACTTTGGTGGATAGCACCTAGCTCTGCCTCTGTTTTCCTGCTTCTCACTCACTCTTTGGCCCATTCCAGTTTGACTTCTGTCCATATCTCACACTGACACAGCCCTCGCTAAAATCACCAGTGATTTCTGTGCCGCTAAATTCTAGGGACGGTTTTGGCCTCCTGTTCCTAACCTCTCATCAGTACTTGACACTACTGACCACACTTTTCTCCTTGTGGCTTTTGTGATTCCATAGTTTTCTTTTCTTTTTTTTTTTTTTTTTTGGAGAGTTTTGCTGTTTTGCCCAGGCTGGAGTGCGGTGGTACGATCTCGGCTCACTGCACCCTCTGATTTCAAGCTGTTGATTGAAACCCTCTGGGTCCCACGCCTCTCCGTACTCATTAGGATGAAATTGACCATGCTGCGGTAAAAAACCAACTCCAAATTCCAGAGATTGAACAGACACAGTATTTTTTTCTCATGTGCTCCACCTCTGTCAACTTTACCTTCTGCCTGCTTCCATCTGTCCTCAGGGAAGCCCTCAAGCAAGCTACTATACTCCTGATTCTCCTACCTCAGCCTCCTGAGTAGCTGGGATTACAGGCGCCCACCACCACACCCGGGTAATTTTTGTGTTTTTAGTAGAGACGGGATTTCATCATGTTGGCCAGGCTGGTCTCAAACTTCTGACCTTGTGATTTGCCCACCTCGGCCTCCCCAAGGGCTGAGGTTACAGGTATGAGCCACTGCACCTGGCCCATGGTTCCATATTTTTCTAGTTTCTTTTTATCTGCTTCTCTTGCTCCTTCTCTCTCCTTAATGGAGTCATCCTTCTTCATTATACATATTGGATGTCCTCAAGGCTTGATTCTAGGGCATTTTATCTTTTCAGTTCCCATTTTCTTCCTATATGGTCTCATCTTTTCCCCATGACTTCATTTTACCCTCTGGGTCCCATGCCTCTCTGTACTAATTAGGGAAGAATGGACTATCCTGCAGTAACAAACCAACTTGCGATTGAACAAACGCAATGTGTTTTTCTCATGTGCACAATGTGTTCTGTAGGCTTGACAGCCAGTTATAAGTGTGGCTCAGGGATTCAGCCAGTTTCCGTCTTGTGGTTCTGCTGTTTCGGTGTGCGGCCTTTCCCATGGCACTGTGGCACACGGCAGTAGAGGAGAGAGTGTGGAGAACCCACCCACTCTCTTATGCTCCCACCTACAGCCTTTTGGCTGCAAATAGTCACATGGCTCCAACTTAAATGCAAGGGAGGCTGAAAGGACATCCTCCTGTGTTCCTGGAAGAGGAAAGTGAACTGGGACTCAGTGAACTCCTAGCATTGCCCAAGACACACGCCTACTTTAGTAAGTCTAGCCTAGACCTCTCTTTAGAACTCCAGTCCTCACAGCCAATTGCTTGGTGGTATCTTCATTCACCAGCATAGCTCAGAGATAACTCACACTTACCACATCCCTAAATGAGCTCATGGCCCACTCATAAAACCTGTCCTCTCTGAATCCCCCGTCTCAGTGAAGAGGTGAGGGAAGAGGCAGCTGCAAGCCAAACCGTAAGAAACTGATCTTACCTTGACTTCTTCCTCTTTCAGTTCCACATTCTGTCACCACACCTGTCAACTTTACCTTCCGTCTGCTTCTGTCTGTCCTCAGGGCAGCCCTCATCCAAGTGACTGTCCTCCTCCATCTGTACCCTGCAGTGGTCTCCTAACTGGTCATCTCGTTTCCACTCTTGCCCCTGGCCAGTCTTTTCCATACACTACCGATACAGAGGATCTGATCAGATCTCATTTCCTGCTTAAATCACCGCAGTAATTTCCATCGCTCTTACCTGGGCCAGCGTCTTCAACAACCCCTTTTAAAGGCTCACCAGGATTGACTCTTGCCATCTTCCCAGCTCACTTTCCATCCCTTCCTCAGCCCCCAGCGGCTCCAACATTGGCCCCCACACTCTTGCCTGACTACCCCTACTCATCCTGCGGCTCGGCCGTGTCCTGGGGGTGCTTTCTTGGCTCCTCGGTCAGGTCCTCCTGTTCTATGCTCTTGCAGTTCTATTTCCTCTTTCCCTCATAGCCCTTATCCCTGTTTTAACTGCATTTTAAAAATTATTTAATTTAGTAATTTTATGTACTGAACTATTAGCTCCAGGAGGGCAGGGACCATTTCTGATTTATTCACTTTGCACTCTATCTTGCATATTGCCTAGTACGTAGTAGATGCTCGGTAAATATCTGTGTGAACTTTTTTCTCCATAAGTGTGAAATAATTGCTATGTTAAGAATCAGGTGAATTAAACAAGAATTCCTACTCTCAAACTATTTGAGAAGAGTGGGGAAAAGATGGCATAAACATGATGTGCCCCAGCTGAGTTGAATGGAAGTCGAAAGTTACATGTGAGAGCTGGTGAGGTCTAGAATGTCTTGCCCTAGACAACACACACTAGCAACTGAATCATACAAATCATGGAAAGAACTGACATTTCTTCAGTGCAGGAACCTGCTCTGCTTTTGCTCTACATATCTAACTACCTGGCATACTACTGTGCATATAAAGAATGCTTATTAATATAGTGAATCTACTGACATAAAAATAAAAATCCTTTCTAAAAAGAAAGGCATGCTGGCTGGAGGAAGGCAGGGTATGAGCAGGCTCTTGGTCTCCTCTTGTCTCCCAGCGCCTGTGTCTGTTTGGAAGGTCAGAGTGATGTGTCCATTTCCCTTCTCAGGTCTTCCAGAGGCGGAACACCGGGCAGCTGGATTTCTTCAAGCGGTGGAGGAGCTATGTGGAAGGCTTTGGGGACCCCAGGAAGGAGTTCTGGCTTGGTATGATCTCAGAATCCAGGAGGCTGGGGCTGTGGGGGTGGTTTCTCCCATGACAAGCTAGCTAGGAGGCCTAGGGAAGCTCACCACCTTCAGGGAGAGGCCCCAGTGGCGGGGACACGGAGGACTGTACCAAGCAGGATGTTGGTGGGCGTGTTGATGAGAACGCTCCCCTACGCTCTGAACTTGTTGAAAGGTAGGATAGTCACAGGGGTTTTATGCTGCTCTAAGCCCTGCAGGATCTGCCTGCAGCCTCAAGGTCGTAGAAGTGACAGTAGTAGAAAAACAGTTCAGTGACTGGGATGCTGGGCCATTACTGGGAGGTCACTCTAGCAGTCTCTAAAATTCTGTTGGTGATGCCAGACATTGCAGGCAATTTTTCTCCCGCTTTCCCTCTGCTCTCTCCTGGAGCAGATGTTCACAGAGAGTGAAATAGCCAAAAGTGTGAATTGGGAAATGAAGAATTAAAAAGTCATAATCTGGACACCCAGTGTCTCATAGAGCAGATGATGTTTGTGGTTTGCTCAGCACAAAATCTCTTCGGGGATCTGAGGATGAGTTGTTGACCGGCTCTTCTACTTGGTGAGATAAATGGAAGATAAATAGAACTGCTTCCGTTTTAGAGGGTGGAGCCAATGGAAGCAGATTCCTTCTGCGGTTACCCTGCCCCCCTCACTGCTCCCTTCGTGACTGTGAGCCCCCAAAAGAGAAAGTACTGAGACTGGTCTTGAAAGCCTCAGATTCACATGTCAAGTGCTCACTCGCACACCAGATGATTGATTATTGGAATTCCATTTTTTACTTTTAGGACTTGACAGTCTACACAACCTCACCACCGGCACCCCGACACAGTTTGAGGTGAGAGTGGATTTACAGACTGCCAACGAGTCCGCCTATGCTATATATGATTTCTTCCAAGTGGCCTCCAGCAAGGAGCGGTATAAACTGACAGTTGGGAAATACAGAGGCACAGCGGGTGAGAAAAAATGTTTTCTTACTGGAAGGTCTCTTGCTGTCTGTTTCGTAAGGATTGGCTTGCCGTGTGCCACTGATCTGAGGGGGTGCAATATTGCTCTATGAAGGTGAATTGTTCTTACTGAGAGTGGAGGCCTTACTCTCTGCGGGGGGTCAGGAGTGAACAAGTAGTTAAAGCAATCCTTGACCGCCATAAAATTGTACGTTATGTGTCAACCCGCCTCCCAGTAAAAACCCTCCTCTTGTACTTCCTGAGTTCAGGCTGTTGTACATTAGCGGATGAACTCATATTCTAAGCGATTTCTTGATGCCTGTCAGTCTTTCATTTGGCTTTGGCAGTGTGGCTGTCATCTTTGTCTGCACAGCGGCGTGTGTGTGTTTGTGTGTGTGTGTGTGTGTGTGTGTGTGTGTTATTACTTGAGCTTTTGGTGGTACTTTGCTCTAAAAACAGAACGATGAAAGTGCTGATTCAAATAATAAGAATTATAGGTCTCATTAACTTAATACAACTGTGACAACACAGAAATGAGCAGTTCAGTGGAACGCGAGGGAACCTTTGGCCTCTGGCAGCCACTCATTAGAGCTAAGGCAGTTGCTGGTAAGTTCGGCTGGGAAGGAAAAGAGTAAAATTAAGCAACATGATTGAAATGCTGGAATGATACCAGTACATATTTTGTTTAAGAGGGGGAGGTATGGTTACTGTTTTAATACTACTATTTTAAAACCTGTATTTTTGGTTTTTAAACCCTAACAAGGAAGTCTGTGTTTTGACTTCTGCATGTTTTTGGCTTTGGTGTTTTTAACATAGGAATGTGTTACCGGCCAGATTGACTGTATAAGACATGGCGGTCTCTCTCCTTAGACTTAAATGTATATAGGTGAATACAAATAGAAGGTAACTTTCACAGAGAGTCAGCTAAGGGGTAAGAAACATAAAGAGCTACAGGAGTGTGGAGAAGGTGGGCACACGGAGGACCAAGCAACTGGGGGGAGCCGGATCTGCAAGGAGGGGGAAACTGAAGTGGGAGGAAAGAGAGGGCTCTCCAGGCCTGGGGGCTTGGGCTGAGCAGGGACTGAGCAGAGGCAAGGAGACTGGAGTTTATCTTCACTTCCTTATTGGACTTCTCATGATTGTCCATTCAGGGACCCCTGATGGCAGGAGACCGTGAACAGAACTTCTGAGGGCCTGGGGCCGTGATCTGGAGTGGCCAACTATGCGTGCAAACTTTCTTTGCGGTCTTATAATTTCATTTAAAAGGAGTCACATGAATTTTGCATTTGTTCTTGTTTCCCAGTGCCTATCTCAGAGCCTGGTACAGAGTAGGAGAGTTTAAAAAATGACATTTTCAGGAGAACTTTTCTATATACATAATCTTATGGATGTTTAGTATCTTAAATAGTAGTTCCTGAGATCCAAGTAGGTTCCACAGGGGTCAATAAAGGGGTGAGTCTGGTGACACGGTGACTTGGGAGGAGACGAAGAGGGAGGGGTAGGCATCTACCAGAGTAGGAGGCATTTGGGCTACAGACACGGGAAAACCTTTTCAGGATTCTAAGTAGGGGCTGGGTGGGAAAAAGTATGCAAAGAATTATTTCAGGAAAAAGACTATCCTTGAAAAAAAAGGCATTGCAACTAGATGAGCCCCGCACTGCCTTTGGGTGCTGCCCCTTCTTTCCTCGGTCGTCCTGGGTCTCCGTGGGCTGCAGACAGCCTGTGCTAGATGTATGGGAGTATAACATAGTCATGCATCACTTAATGACAGGGATACATTCTGAGAAATGCCCTGTTAGGCATTTCATCATCGTGCAAACATCACAGGATGCACTGACACAAACCTAGATGGCAGAGCCTGCTATAGACCTAGGTAGGTGGTGTAGCCTATCGTTCCTAGGCTACAAACCTGTATAGCATGCTACTGAATACTGGAGGTAATTGTAACACCATGGTAAGTACTTATGGATCTAAATATATGTAAACATAGAAAAGGCACAGTGAGAATATGGTATAAAAGATAAAAAATAGTACATCTATACAGAGCACTTACCATGAATGGAGCTTGCAGGGCTGGAGGTTGCTCTGGGTGAGTCCGTGAGTGGGTGGAGAGTGAATGTGAAGGCCTAGGACATTACTGTGCACTGCTGCAGACTTTATCAACACACTTAGGCCACACTACATTTATTTTAAAATGTTCTTTCTTCATGAATTAAAAATTAGCCTTAGCTTATTGTAACTGTTTTACTTTATAAACTTTAACATCTTTTTCAATGTTTGACTCTTGGAGTAACACTTAGCTTAAAACACAAGCACATCGTACAGCTGTACAAAAATGTTTTTGTTTATATCCTTATTCTGTAAGGTATTTTTTTTGATTTAAACTTTTTTTTTTAATTTTTTATTTTTTACTTTTAAAACTTTTGTGTTAAAAACTAAGACAGAAGTACACGCACGAGCCCAGGCCTGCACACGGTCAGGATCATCAATATCACCGCCTTCCACCTCACATCGTGTCCCACTGGAAGGCCGTCGGGGACAGTAACACACATGGACTGTCACCTCCCGTGAGAACAGCGCCTTCTTCTGGAACACCTCCCGTGAGAACCTGCCTGAGGCTGTTTTACAGGAACGTCTTTTTTTTTTTTTTTT